TATGACAATATCTTGGTAAAGTTGCTGCTCATCCTCTGTGAGTCCACCTTCGGGGTCAGACAGCTTCTGTTCGAGCTCTTCTTCTCGAAAAAGCAGATTCTGTGCGTCCTCATATGATGCTGCTTGTCGTTCTAGCGCTTCATATGCATGTTCATTCTTTGGTGGTAACCATCCATGAATCAATGGTATCGAGAATGTGGCATACAACCCCATCTCAGCCGTGTTCTCAAAGGTTCCTGGGATCAAGTCCCCCCGCTCAGCAGGATGCAAATGTGTCAACGATGTACGCTTGTAAGCATTTATCATTCTCTCTGTAGGGACGAAGCGCGGGTTGACATTCATGCCGGTATGTAAACTTTGCAAGAAGGCATACAAATCTCCAACATCCGGCAATGCATCTTCGGAACTGGTTCGTCGTGGTGACATAAGTTCGTCAAAAACAGCGTCCAGAAGCAGATTCAGACTGACTTGTTCCCTCGATCTAAGAGTTTGTACAAGTGCAGTATCTTCGACATCGGCAGGTGTTGTCATGGTAAGCGCGTTGACCAGAGCCACAAGAGGGCAAGGCCCGTTTGCATTCTGGATCAAGATTGGGGATATTCGTGGGTTCTTTGACGAGGTCGAGTCGTGCCATTGTATATTCTTAATCTGGTAGGTCTCCGTCTTTCCGTCGATCGGATCTCTGGATGCTCTCCAACTTGACGGTTCAGTTTGTAGTGTTGGTTGCCTGGGTGGCAAGGGTGGCTTCTCCTCTTGAGCTTCCTTCATGGGGCTCGGTGATGGCTCTGAATCTATCAGATTCCAATCATCGGGTGATGCTGGCCGGGCTTCTCCTGTGGCCTTGGCCTTTCCCTTGTCAGCGCCGCCTACATCGTCCCAGATATTTGTGTCCCCAGTAAGTTCTGCGGAGAGTTTCATAGGTGGCGCAGGAGGTTTGTCATTTCTTCCCAGAGGATCCTCATCCCAAGCAGGTGATTCTCCACCAGAGGGTAGTGATACCATACCAGGTGATCCAGCAGGAAGTGGTTCTGGCGTAGGTGTCCATGCGCCTCGAGGAGGGACATCGTCCATGAGGTTTGGAATCGGTTGCGGGGCTGATGGTGCGTTTTGCACCTCTATCACAGGTTGCCATGGGTTCGTATTAGGTTCCTCGATACCAAGTTTCGAAAATGATTCTGTCGGTGGTGTTTCTTGTCTTGAGGGGACTTTCTTTCGTAGAAAAGGGTTCGTTTCTGGTCTGTCTCCGCCTGGTTTCAATACTGCAGGCGTCTCTTGAGACTGCGGCTGATTATTTGGCTGTGTCCTCGCTTCTCCCCACGCCTGTTGCTCATCTCGATTATCGAAAGCGATTCCAGGTCTGAGGGCCGCAGGAACAGCTTGGGGGTTCGGTCTATCGGTTGAAGATGCTTGTCCATCGCGGCGGGGTCCTACATCTTCCCATCCCGGCTCGCTCCCTCCTTCGGCCCAAGGATTATTCGACATTGCTTTGACTTTGATCGTATTTGAGGTAAGTTGGAACTTGGGAGCTTTGAGTGTCAAAGTAACATGGCAAATAGAGGGCTTCAGTGTTCCGTTTAGCCCTTGTAGCTGATGCGCTGCTACCACAGGCGGGAGACTGCGGGGAAGTGATTCGAAGTGGTTCTCGAAGCGCAGTGAGTTGTATGCATGAGACTTAAAAGCCTAGCAACCAGATCTCTGCAGTAAACGTCGTATAGTGATATTCGTCGCTTGTATATGTTGAAATCCAGCTCTTGAAGCTCCTCTTGATCGCAACAGCAACAGCTCGTGTGGGGAGATGTGTCGTCACTGGGTCCCGCTCTGTACGTGGCGGTGCAGCGTGAAACTGAGCAATTCGCTGAGGGGAGAAGCTACTATCGAAGCTACTATCGCACAAGAAGCAAAATGACTGGATGCCTTAGATTCAATGCGAGTTTGTCTTGGTTGGAAAACGAATAATGAAGAAGGTTAGGCATGCGCTCAGCTGAAAAAGCTGGGCGGGTGGTGCCTGTAATGTACCTGAGGTACGTAGACCGGGGGCGTCAACCTGAAGTCTGAGGTGCCCCGCCCACTTCCATTTGCTTACCACCGCCACGGGCCGCGAACGATGACGTGGGCCTGTCGATTCAAGTATTGAGCAAGCTGAAGAAGAATTATATACCATTCCTGTTATCGCCTCACCGCTTAGAGAGCGGCCTGTACAATTCATGATTCTAAGCCTGGTCCTCGCTTGTCCTCTTTCTTGACCAGATTGGTTGATAAAGATGAAGTCGCTTAAGCTAGCATTGACGATCTGAGACATGCCGACTTACACCGCGACTGAATGAGTGAACATGATAATTTTGGATATTTACCTACTCATACTGGAATAAACATTGCGATACTATTTCCTTCTTTTACTCATTTCTATGAGAATATAAGATCTTTATAGACCGGAGAATGTCCCAGTGGACGGAGTAAGCACTCATTCCTTCATGATCCACCAATGTCTTAGACTCAACGGTCATCCAACGCTCAGACCAAGGGTCCAATAGTCATCCTAGGTGATCCTAAACGACAAAAATGTTTAGGTAAGTCTAGCCTAAATTCAAGGAACTCTTTACTGAGTTTATTTTGGCATCCTCCCCTAGAGTCTTGGGTTCCCTTGCTCCCCGAGGCCATCCAGAGAATAAGGTATCTTGCGGTGGCTGGCAGTCAAAAGAAGCGATTGGTGTGCATTCTAAACGCGCAGTTCAACGAATCTACCTCGAATTGGATCGTCTTTAAACCTCCCCTAGGAAAACACATCCTTAAGCATTAAACGCTGCTGAATAATACATAACTTGATTATGGGCGTCGTCCTCCCCTTGCTTTGCTTGCTTGTCAGTTCCGAGTTCCTTCGTCGCCATGCAGTCCCAGAAATGCCACAACGCCAACTCCTATACAAGAAAAGTATATGATATCCACCTGCTCACGGCGCTATCTGTGCATGTACGTCGTTAAACCTTCACCCCAAGATTTTGCAGCCGCTCGCAAGACGGCATTGTGTATGTCTGTGCAAGTGCCATCTTGTCAGGGTCCTGGTAGAACCAGCCCTGAGCAGCATCCCTCAATCTCCGTTGGTATATCAGCTCGTTCTCACACTCATTCTTGAGATGTCTCAAGAGCTGATGTTCAGCTGTACGGTCGAGCTTGTTGAGCTTCTTTTCGGAATATTGGGCAACTTCGTCGGGGTTAACGTAGTAGTTGACGTTCAGATTTGGTGTCGTGCGCTGCTCGGTGTACGGGTGCAGAGGATTGTCGTAGACCATGCGAGGCCCTGATGCCGATGTTGTTGAAGACTCGCCGGAGAAGAAGGATGTGATGATGGGTAGGATGAAGAACAAGATGATGGGTAATAGACCCAGGAACGTTTGGAAGGCGTTGCCTTCGTTCTGCCGACCACGATCGGCTTCTCGGGGTCGCGTTCTCGGCCTGGCTCCGCCAAACTGATGAACCCTGATTCCAGGACCTCCTCCAAAGTTGAAAACAAATTGAGGGCCTGTGTCAAAAGCTACAACATTAGTACGAATCTCGTCTTGCTTGTCAGTTCTGCTCACCTCCGAATGGGCCACCACCACCAAAGCCGCCTCCGCCAAAGAAACGGGCAAACATCTCCTCCGGAGTCAAGTCATCCTGGAACATCGGGCCACCTCTACCCATTCCACCACCACCGGCTCGTTGATTGAAGAAAGGATTATTCGCCTGGGCGCTAGCGAATCGACTGTCAGGATCTGTGCCGAACTTATCAAACTTTTCCCTCTTCTCTTTATCGCCTAGAATGCCAAAAGCTCTGCTGACCATCTTGAAGGCCTCGTCCGCATGAGGGTGTCCATTCTTGTCGGGGTGGGTCAGAAGCGACAGCTTCCGATAAGCCTTCTTGATCTCAGCCTCGGTGCATGTGTCCTTGACGCTCGAAAGATTTAGGATGTCATAAAACGCAGTGGCCTCGCATCTTCGGATACGAATGACCGCTGCCTCTTGGTCTGGGGTGAAAGATCGTCCTTGGTTACCCTGCTTATGATCGCGAGATCGAGCCGAGCCACCCGTATCAGCTCCGGAAGCCGTTGCGCTGGGCATCGAAATTTTAGTTGTACTGAGGTCGCTAGGTGTCTGTAGGAGTTCTGAGGTACGATTCGTGAGTCGTACGTTGAGTGTTGAAGATTAAATAGGGTTTTAAGTTTGGCCGTCGAGAATGCGGGAAGAGGGAAAGTGGCTTCTTTGGGGGAGAACAATGGCACAGAAAAGGGCGTCGTCGAAGAGGCGAACGCCGTATTGGTCGGGTTTGTGCTATTCGTGACCGAATCGCATGAGGAATATGAAGCAATCGAAATGTGGTTGATATGGTGATGCAAAGGGGGTGCCAGAAATCTGGTGTTTTCCGATCGGGCAATCCCTAGTTGGTCTTTGGCGGACGCCCACTCTCTCCATTGAGTCTGTCCCAAAGTCTCGACTCCACGTGATCCCCCACCATTCAATGTCATTGCTACCAATCAGCTTACCCTGTATCACTTACACGACTATCAGTCAGATCCAAGAACTACGACATCCTGGTGCAATCTGGAGGTCCATCAAGGTGCGTTAGACATTGTTTTATGTCTTAAAAACATTTAGTAGTCACACCAGCTTTAGAAATGCTTCATAGGCGGCCTAGCACTTGGGTCTTGGGATCGTGTGAAGATATATCACGTAGTTAAAAAGCCGACCATCTCATTCTAAAGAACATTTAGCCAGTCAAAAGTGTTGCATGGTTACAGGTGTCAAATTCGAGTGCCTTTTGGTCATAATGATTCGAATGTGTTTCTCATACATCACGACAATAGAGATCCTGACATCCCACAGTCTTCAGGGCCGCATATAAAACAAGAAACATTGATTTATACTCAAGAAACTATTTACGTCGAGTAAGTATTTACAAGAATAGACCACCCAAGTCAAGTCGTTTTCTCCCTCGTTCCTGGTTCAAACCATGCCCACGATATCGCTTAAGCACCGATGAACTGCTTGATCTGAGGAAGAACCTTCTTGTAAGCAGTACCAGTAGTAGGCTCCATGCTGAACATGTAGTCACCCCACCAAGGGCCAGCAGCCCAGTACAACCAACCAGTCCAGACATCAGAGTTGTCAAGCAAGTGCTGCAACTCGCCCTTAAGCGCAGCAATGCACTGGGCATTAGCTCCGCCAGCAGTCTCACCAAGAATACCCTTCTTCTTGTTGGCCTTGAGCCACTGGGTAGCAGCCTTGAGGCGCTCAACACCAATGGTAGAGCTAACACAATTCTCGGAGGTACCAGAGGAGTCGGAATCGAGGTACTGGTGCATCTCGTAGATGATCTTGTTCTGAGGGTCCTTGAGATCCTTCATAGCAGCGCCGTTGCCGCTGGAAACCCAGCTCCAAGCTCCGGTGTAGGCGTTGCCCTCGACGAAGATGTACTGGGAGGTTGCGCCGGCCTTGCGGATGGCGTTGACGGCGGCCTGGTTGAGAGCAGCGACGACAGAGTTGTCCATGTCGTGGTACTCGTTGTTGGTGTCGAAGATGACGAGCTTGTTGTTGGCGAAGCGCTTGGCTACCTTTTGCCACCAGACGCTGAAGTCTGAGCTCTTGATGATGTTACCGTTGAAGCGGCCGTAGTTGTGAGGGTCAATAACGGCATAGTGGCCCCTGAATGTGTCAGTGAAGTCATGTCAAAATGGGAAACGCAGTTACTAACTTGCTGGTGATGTGGTTGACAGTGTCCTGGAGGCCCTTGAAGTAAGCCTCATCAATGGCACCGGTGATGCCACTGGGAGTCACTCGCTCCATGCGGAAACCGACACGGAAGGTGTTCATACCAGTGCTAGCGAGGGTCTATCATAGTCAGCACCAAGGACAAGTTATGGGTCAGGATACTTACATCAATGGAGCTCGTGGTAGGCCAGATGTAGTCCTTGTTGAGCGTACCAGGGAGGTTACCCTCACCAAACTCACCACCAGACTCATTGGAACCAGTGAAGAGGAACTTGCCCTTGGCCCTCGTAGTATGAGGAGCAGCCAGAGCAAGGGAAGCGCCAGCACTTGCGAGAAGGAAATTTGTGAACCGCATGTTTGCTAGAAGGAGTGGATATTCGTTTCTTGTTTCAAATGATTGTAAGAGGATCGATCAACGAGCCATGCAGAGCAGAGCCAAGAAATACAGGAAACATGGCGAGTATATATACACATTCAGCTTCGGCCCAACTTGCGGTGCTACGCATAGCTCCCTTCGTAGCATGTTCATTAAGTCGGGATGTGACAAGGGCCAGCCCAGACTGACTATTGATCCTCCGTGAGCCCATATAGGAATAGACTCGGTCGATTTGCACGTTTCAATAGTTTCTCCAGATGAAGTGTAGAACATGACCCAGTTTGGTGGTAACTGATTTGCCGATGTTCCCTGTTTGTTTGGCTGAAACAGGAGCTAGGTCCCCCTGATATTTCACTAACACGCCGCGTTGCCGGTACTGAACATAGTGAAGCAAGAAAAGTTGAGATGATTTTCGTGGAGTAGAGTTGTATAGTATTTCTTGGCTGACATTTCAAGACTAATGACAACGGCTTTCATAGTCTATCAAAGCCACTTGACTCGTTTCTGAAAAAGACTTCTTTTTCCTTGTGGTCCTCCTAATAAGGAGTAGAACGCATCAATGACGCAACCTGTCGTACAACTATTAAAATGATCATCTCTTGTTGGAACAAGCATTATTATCTCGTTGGTGGGATTCTTTCTCCGTTTACAACGTCCATATTAAACCTCAGGTGAGAGAAGCACAGAGGTGCCGGTAGCCGTTCTGTGCTGGGGTAGTCACGTGCTGCAAGTTTCGGACTAACCGATCGGAAAAAGCAACCCCCGGCTCGATCCGTCGCATTGAAGCTTGGTGATGCCGGCCTGAAATTTCGAGGGAACGACATGTGCCAGCGATAATGCACGCGACACGGGTTCTTCTTAAGCGATCAGTGTGGAAGGGTATGTCAATTTCTACGCTGTGATGTTGTTGGGTGCTAATTCTGCTGATAGGGCCGCACTTGGTACCGTAAGCCGACGACCGACTCGATTACCCTGACTGCTCTAACATGCGATAGCCTACCCATTGTATGGCCCAAGTCTTCCAGCGATAAGGTGCCTCCTGTGCGAACACAGGCTCGATCAGCCACGATTCTGCCCAACTTTGTCGGTCTCAAGTTCGAGGTGCACAATGGAAAGGATTACCATGAGGTGACCATTACAGAAGATATGGTTGGACACAAGCTTGGCGAATTCTCACCGTAAGTCTCGGCCCAAGCCGAAAGATGGATATATTCTGACTGATGATAGAACACGAAAGCCAAATATCTGGGACAAGAGGTAGAAGAGCAAATAGGGACTTGAATCTGGGTATACCCATGTACAAAAGACTACATGTAACATCACTAGAGCAATGATATCAACGAAGAGATCCATTCGCATATTCAGGCGACCTATTGTAACCAGCTGTGACTTTCCTGGTTTTCATATTTGATATCATGTACGGACCCAAATCCTTCCGTGAACGCCGAACCGTAACGCCTTGCAGTCATGTAACCAAATCCGTACTCAGCGGTAGAACTCGCTACGCTTGACGTTGACACCGTACTCTCCAACAGCCATACCAAGATCCTCCATAGTTAAAACAGTCCTGTTCTGGCTACCGCCCTGTCCACCACCTCCGTAGCCCGGTCGCTGGATGCCCAGCGGTGCTCCCTTAGCTTGATCCTTGCTTCCGGGCTGGCCAGTTGGTTGACCAGGAATAGGGAATCCGGCAGCTGCACCAAGAGACCCCATAGGATTGTTGGTATTGGATGATGCGCGGATTCTGCTGTACTGGTATGCATCTGCGGCGATGTCCGCGATGAACTTCTGGGTTGCTAGGGCGAGGAGTCGCGCAAGGCGTGGATCGGTCTGGGGAGGTGGTGGAAGACCGGCTTTGGTCATGTAGTAGTGTGTGACTGCGTCGGGAATCTAGAGAGTGTTAGGTGAGTTGAATCAGGAGTCTGTGGTGCGTACAATCGGCGCATAGTCATCCATCTTGTTCAGGAACTCTCGTAGCGAGACATCCTTGCGAGTTGGTAATCGAGGATCGGGAATCGCTGTAGCGGGCGCTTCATCAGCTGGTACCTCAGGCGCAGGAGGGGTCTGCTCTGGCTTTTCGGGCGCATCACTAGCCATATTGAAAGATTTGATGATGCGATGTTAATTAAGATGTTGAGGATGAAGTCAAAGCGATTGATGCTCGACGCGTTAAGAGGTAGAGTCACGTGATTCAATGTCATGGTCTAATCCATCCATTGTTAGGCTTGCATGAGCCGCACAATGCCAAGAAGCTTAATGGGACTAAGCAAAGCCAACCAGGCACAATCAAATAAGCATAAACCAGCATTCGAGGTTTCTCATGTTGTATTTCCCTGCCTAATTGTTCATATGCCTCTTCGTTTCCTCATTGTAGAGTGCCTTGAGCTCATTACAAATGACAGAAATAGCAGCATTCAACGCAAATAGACTACACTCTATTTTGACTTGGTACAGCACTGAAATCAACGATCCCTTTTCCCCAAAATCTCCAAGCCAAGCGGCGACGCCATTGTAATTACCGCCTTTGTTGACCTCCCAAACCAACGCCGTGCATGCATCTCCAGAAGCCGGAGTTGTCGTGACCAAAACTGTGGTCTTGTCTTGTCTTGCCTATTGGCTACTTCATCGTTACAGTGTCGAAACGTATAAGACGTGTTTCGAGAGCTTGGTGCTCTCTTTCGTACAGGTATCTTGTGTCTTGCTGATCGTTTAGACGGGGAGCTTGAACTTCTTGCCCTTCATGACCTTGGTGTAGTAGATGTAGAAGAAGTCGCTGTACAGAACCGTCTGGACGATACCAGCAACGATAGCGATGGTGTCGACCTTGTGGTTAGTCTCGGCGAAGTATCGGTAGATCCAGTTGGGGATGTAAAGAGCGCGGTAGCTGCCGAGAGCGAAGAGATAGTGGGTGGTGATGGTCTCGGCCTCGCCGGTGCGCTGAAGCATGAAGAGTTGAGGGAGAATAGCCACAGACTCGAGCCAAATGGAGAAGGCCCACAGAATCTCGGAGATAGTATAGTGATAGGGGAAGACGATGGCGAGAACAGCAGCTCCCGCAAGAAGGTACTGGACTCGGAAGGTGTCGACATTAGGATCGTTGGTAGGCTTGTAGGCGTTGGTCATGAGGTAGATGATGTAACCTTGGGAGCCAAGGAACATGATCTTGAAGATGAAGTTGTAGATGCTATCGGTTTTGAAGAGATCTGGGGTATGTTAGAATGCGCTTCTGGGATCTGCTGACGGGAGTCGTACCAAGATAGCGGGTGATGTAGACAAGCATGTAGAGTGTCTGCGACTTGAAAGAGATACCTGAGCAGCTCTGAAGTCGATTAGTATTGCTGATCCACAGCGTCTGACAAGGGAGGACCAACGTTGAGCTGCACCATCTTGTGAAGCAAGATGAAGATGGAGCCGAGATGCGAGAAATCCGCTGTGCGACAAGTCAGCAAATAGCTCAGCGAAACCGTCGATTCCGCATTGTCATAAACGTACCAGCGACTCGGAAAACGTTCAAAGGCATGATTGCGGTAGTTGTCGCAAAGCTAAGATAGATAAGGAATTGGAAGAAGTTGTTATGAGATAGCTGTTAGAAGCGCAGCGAGTGGGAAGCGAGCGACAACCTGTCAAAGGCGGGTGAGTTCGGATACAATTGAGGATCGTTCGGGACGAGGGTTGGATGGTGATGGCTCGAGGGATTGACAAGGGGAGCTTGGGAGAATCATGAATCTTGAAACTGAGCTGAGCTTTGGCTGAAAAAGGACACGACGCGATTGCAAGCTCATTGGGCCATCCAGCTACGTAATGTCTCGCATGTGTCAGGTTGAGCGCCACATTATTATTCTAGCCACAGCTCAGGGGTGTGTGGCTGTTATCATGAAGTTGTAAGTGAATGTAGCATGAACCATGGTCCAGAGAACGACTTGATGAGAAACAGGCTTGGATCTACTCACTACTGAACCGTTATTCATATATCTTAGACATAATTTACTCATGTGAGCCCGCAGGGGGAGGCAAGAAAACTTAGGACCTTGACCGTAAGTGATGAAAAGACTTAGAAGAGGATACCATAAACTCAGTAAAGAGTCCCATAAGCTTAGGCTAAATTGCCCAAAGTCTTCCAGGGTATATTTTCTTGCTCCCTGAGGACCTCAAACAAATATCAAATTCAATCACAGATGTCATGTCACGATGGCTCCGCTTGTTTTTATATACGGTTGCAGTATATTGGCAATAGGCTATTTCGCTCACTTCTTATGAATGACAAGCAGAGGAGTACTCGAGAGCACGGCGCTCAAGCTCAAGTGATCTATTTACCACAGATACAACGACTACTAATGCCAAGTGGATCGTATTCACATACACCTAAATGTTTAAGGTAAGGTCCAAGTCTATTAGAGGTCGCCCAATGCCCCCAAGTAGGAAACCAGTATATCTGCAAATTATTAGCAAATATTATATTAATCTCTAGAGGAATATAAACTTTATTGCGATATTATAGTTACTATATATTAAAACTAAGTTACTAGTTATCTAAATCTATTATACCTAACAGTAATCTCTAGTTACTTATCGCCATCTTAACCCATATTGAGATCATTTAGATAAATAGAAGATAGCCTATTTCTGGCTATATGACTTTAGGTATGTAACCGGCTCCTGGGGCTGTCTCTCGGCCTAGTTTCTAGTCTTCACGAGATCTAATTCAGGATGGACGAACTCTAAAGTGGTCGTTATGTCGACCTACATATAGGTCTTGCCTCTAAGGAGATGCTTGGGGGCATAATTACGAGAAAGCTGTAGCCGAGTATAGGCGTTAAGGCGATCGATAAGATCGTTGAAGCCGATATTTGGCTGATAGCTGAAGCCTATTTTTACCTACTTATTATGGAAGAGCTTGTGGTATGTATTGCGGAATTTGTTGTTAGAGCACTAGTGTTGGATGTTGTTGATTGTAGCTGCGGCTATTTTATGCAGCAGAATCGGACTTCCTTCTCCCTTGCCCAAGATCTTAAACTGCATCTTAGTAGGGTCGTTTTCGATAGGGCCAATTCTGCCATAGGCCATCTGCTTTACGGTCGGTATGGTGAAGCTAGCGTAAGGCCATTCTTAGTGAATCGATTTGTGAGCGAGCTGTTGGACGGTGTCTGACGTTAGCTTGAAATTGTAGAGATAGTAGGTGAGCTTGGTACCTCAAAATGTGGTGTTGCGTCTTGATATAGTCTAAAGATCCAGCCGTAACTGATCTGCTGATGATGCTTGATATCAGTACTGGGCTAGAAGCAGGTAGACGAGTGAATACTGACCTGGCTTGACCGATGCGCAGAGTTAAAGGCACATAAGAGGAGGAGTAGTGAAAGGACAAAAGAAAAATTCGAAGAGAAAAAATGATTTGTTCATACCTTAGGTATGCACAGGGACGCAATTCATTGTAGAGCCCATGATTCATTGTAGAGCCCGTAATTCACTGCTCACCAGTGCCAATTCAATTACCTCACTTTCTCCTCTCCTGACCTCATCTCTTTATCTCTATCCCAGTCCTCTTACATTTTTCAAGATTAGTTTACCATTCGGATCGAGGTTATTCTCCTTCACATCTCGTCACTTTGCCCATATCTGGCTGCATGTTATACCATAGGGACCGAGCCTGTGTGCAAGATAACCAGTGACTTTTGGACGATGTCCAGTCTGTCAAGCGGCGGTGCCGGGCCGAGCAGACCCTACAAGAGTATCCGATTCGAGAACGTCGCAGCCAGCATCGATGAAGTCATCAAGGCCGAAAAGTTAAAGACGCAGCCAATTCGTCCAGGACAGAGACCAGAGGCTCGGAGCAGCGTGGTGACTCTAGAGGAAGCACGACGATCGCTGCATGAAGACATGCAAAATCTCAAGGCATCACCCCATCCACATCGAGCAATAAGACCCCGAATGCCCACAACTTCTGCCATTCATGATTTTATGGACGAGGTCGAAAACATCATCAAAAATAAGACTCCAGCGAGCGAATGCGACTATCTCGACGACATGTACGATGCTGCCATGAAGGACATAAAGTGTTGGGACAAACATGGATACTATACTACCATCTACGGTAAAGGGCGATCGAAAGAGGATGGTGAGGACAAGGAGGAGATGAAGGAACAGAAGCAGGCTGATGGTGAGGTGGCCCCTGGAATCGACGACGTCCAATCGCTCGCAGATGCTGTCTCCAGCATCAAAGCACCCAGTAAGCATCATATACATCAACACAATTTCGATTCGAGTTGCTAACAATCATCAGGTAATCACAACCTCGCAGAAGAACGAAAGAAGCACCTCGGGATCCGGTCTAAAGGTCATTATAAGCATCTAAATGTTGAAGAGCTCATCGGAGGTGACAGTGAGGAGGACGAGGATAGTGAGGAGGGTGAGGAGGACGAAGACGTCGAGGAGAGTGATGTCGAGGAGGATGGCGACGGCGACATTCAGATGGCAGGCTGAAGGTATTTAGAAGACGTCCAAATATCACATTACATCGCGCTGGCTCCACTTGCTTTTATGTACGGTTGCAGTATATTTACTCAACTACCTAAACCGCAGGTTTTTTGTTTGATGTTACGAAGTTGCAGAACACGCAAGATGATCGAGGGCGCAGGTGCCGTTCGCCATCCAAGCAAAGTAAATCCACCAACTGACTAACCACTAGACTATTATGTCTGGCCAATGGTTGTAACATGATACATCCTTTCACATGCACAGACAGTCTTTGTATTCCCAAGATGTTCCTACACTCCTGATGCTTCATTTTGATGCAAAGCAAATCGTACTCGGCAACCCATCAACTTCCTCCACCATCCTCAACTGCAATCAGTAATTGCAGTCGGGACTGAGGCGGGAAACTCGAGCTCCATCATAACATAATGTTGACTCCATACCTAGTCATCATCATGTCCAAATCTCAGCTTTCACAGGCCCAAGATACTCCCATAGCAAACGGTGCCGTAAGGTGTATCAAAGACCATGCACTGTCAGGACAGAGTCTTCTGGCCCTATCCCCCAAAAGACATGCCCAGGGGATACTGGGCTAGGTCAATCGGCAGCTTTTGTTTTCATTTCGTTTTCATCCTTTTTTTCTCTTTTTTTTTCTCAAGACTGATTCAGTGTTTTCTTTCTCGAGCCACTTCAAGTTACCTAGCGAGAGGTATCTGAGGTGTCCACAGACGTCAGGGCGGCACCTGGAATGTCCGAAGGACGGCAGATCTCTCTGTTCTCTGGTTTGGGTGGCCCCTAGAGAGTAATAAGATTTTCCTCAAGCGTCAAAGGTAACATGAAGCGGCAAGTAAAAGACCACAGTTGATGCTACCTGCGATGCAGAGCGCAACAACTCATCGGAACCATGTCTTGCTTTATCCAACATGAGTGATCATATGAAATGTTCATGGCCAAGAATGTTGGGGACTCACTCACAGCACACAGGTCTTAGGTCGCTCTCTGAAAGTGACCCAGGTCCTTAGAGCTATGGTGAAATAACTTCACTGGCTATGACAGCCAGTCTGGGGGTATCACAAAGAAATATAAGAACTGAGGACGCCGCTGCGCCGCCAAATCGTTTCCGTGCTTTTTTTATTTTGTTTTTTCGTACCCCGGGGGGCTATTGTGGTTTTATCTTTTTTTGGTAGACGTCGAAACAACAACAGGGCCCTCCTAATTCAACCCAGTCCTCAAGGAGGCCAGATCACTACTCAGTTAGGTCTCCTGATGGTGTCCCGTGCCAATCTTCTTAGTCGTAGCCGGAGTATCGGCGGTGACAATTTATCAAGTGCTCAGCAGCTGTAATTCTTCCGCAAGGTCTCCAAACCGCTAGGGGAGAACCCGAAGACGTCTGACATATTAAAATGGCAGAATGCCATCATACGATGGCCGATCGGTCCGTTTCTCTCGCAGTTTTGAGCATCGAAGAAGCGTAACTCCAGCAGCTGGCATATGGCATTGATTGCACTGTCAGTCTCCACAAGAGTCGAAGTATTAGTCCTGGCAATGGAGCAACCAGTGCCTGGTACGTTGACTCTCAGCCGTCATCATCTCTTGAAGGCTTCCATCACCTCATGGAAGACATATGAAGAACATTCAACTCTTCTTTGGCATGATGAAAAGCCTTCTGCCCCTCGAGTAGATACCTGCCGCCACTCGTGAGTTTTTGGCTAGGTCATCCCGAGTTGTTGACTTGAGCTGTGTGACATTTGTTTGTGCCAAGAACAATGCCCCTGACAGAACAACAGAGGATTGACTTGACGCTTTGTTCTTGTGTTTTATAATGTTTTTTTCTGGTTTTCTCTCTTTTCGTTTTCTTTTTCATTTTCTCTCCCTCAGCGTCTCTTTTACTTCTGGTGGCCCCATATCATGAAACCATGATCCCGCATAGAACCAAGGAGACTCGAATATGGAACCTGGCAAGTGGACTAATAATAGGGAGGATGATTAATTGACGGTGTCCGGTACCGTACGATTCGTCGTTTGCTAGCGTGGCTACGCCAACCCGCCCTGTCGATATAAGGCGCCCGAAGCAGAAAGGCTTGCCCGAAAAAACACGATGCTGCCACGTCCTCCCAAAAGGCGCACGACATAAGCACATGCGCCTAGGTCGATGACTATTATCTCGTGTGACAAGTGTGGTGAGTACATTGAAGTCTTAGCGCCTGCGTACTGTATGCGGAGCAAGCGGCAGACAATGATAAATAAATCAATAAATGAATGAATGGTATGAATAAACGAATGAAAGAAGGGAAGAAAGTCGATAACAAACACGACATCAAAACATGCTTGAGGAGAAGAAAGAATCATGTTCCAAGTGGGAGGAGCTCGTCCTTATATAGACAAATATTAGACTCCTCAACTCAAATCCAGGGTAGAAACCCTTGGTCTACGTGTCCAGACACTTGTTGTTGTGAATTTGAAGTTTGCATCGTGATTTTTGAGGTAGTCACGCAATGTGAGTGTCGGGGACTTACACCGAGAAAGCATAACCAATGAGTTAACAAAGAGTCCGTGAAAGTTCATGAACTCTCGAGCTTCAGCACCGAAAACGCAAACGTGAAGTTTGATAGCAGCCTACGTGCACCATCCAGGTTGTGATAAAAGCCATAGCTGTTGTACTAAATGCTTCTGAGGGCAATAAACTTTTTTCATTGTCTCAAAGAGGCACTTATGTACCGAGATCGGAGTGTCGTATCATAGAAGCTTTGAAGCCCTTTCTGTGAATTTGAGGAGTGAGTTTATAGAGAGCAAGTTAGATCGAGAGAGAACGAACGAAGATAAGTTCAAGTGCCAAAGTTAAGTTCAACATGATTCCTGTCTTTATTCCACTTGCTTTGACTTATACAATTCTGAAGCCAATGGAGCTCGCTTATACGAAAGCGAGTGCGAGTCCTGAGTACGAAAGTTTGTCCTTTGATCCAGTAGACGATGCTCATACCTACGAGGTATCGAAGTTTATCTTATAGACACCGCACATGTATAAGAAAAGGCCTTGAAAGTAACGTCTCGCGTCCACAAAGATTTACTACAACATCGTTTCCCCAGAACAGTCTACATGGATCAGTAGCAAACCGAGTTCGACCGCAAAATGTGATCATGCCATAAATTTATCCCTCCAAAATCGTACAAATATCTGCATGAGGCGCAACCAGAGCACCAATATTGTGGCTCTCGGCCCAAAGAGCAAATGTGCATGGAAGAAGTCGTTGACCATGAGAATCCCAGAGAAACAAAAAGATCAAGTCATGGAAATACTGGAACCTTGATGGTGTATTAGAGGAACAGAGGCGCCATAGTTTGGCCACATCAAGAAGCCAGAGCCATGATGATCAGTCTATCATGGTATCGGGGTTCTATAAATACCCGAGAATTTCTTTGGCTGGCTTAAACACACTCCCGACTTTTATTGGGCTTTCATAGTATAGACATCTCCAAAGCCTCGTGGTTATCAATTATTAATCGGTCCATAATTCTACTAGGTAAAATGGCTTGAAGTAATTCAAGCTGGTGACGTCGAGATATTGGAAACCTTATCACAGATAAAAGCTTAGTAGATCCAATGTTATGGATAACTCCCAAGATAATCGCTTACGATCAGTAATATGTAACTTGTCCCAAGATTTTAGCGTTGTTTAAATGCACTGAAAACACAGGTGACTAACATAGCTTCAATTGTGAGCCTTGTGATTGAGATAATACGGAGTGTCAAGTCAGTGATGGATTCAAGGGTTCAGCTCTGAAGCATCGGCTGTTTGAGCAAAACAAGTCAATACTGTCGCTTATTGACTCTGAAATAACTCAAGGAATGGATTGAAATAGTCAACTTAGTTGCAATGAAATCATCGATTGCCACGTATTATGCTTGAAGTAATGTTTATACTCGATCTTGACAAGACTCACGGGCTGTTGCGATGACACAGAGGAAATACTTGTTTCAAACATGAAGCATTCGAGCACCACATGAAATAATGTAATACTTCAAACCGGTACTTAAAAAGAAGATTAGTTGAGTCGAGTTGCACTGACATGCCTGCAGGTTGCCCTGATAGTTGACGCAGGGACAAAGACACCAGGGATCAAACACCAATAAAAGCACACGATGGACAACAAATTGTCTCTTGATATCTTATATTGCCTGTTTTTCAGGCATCTAACAAATGATCTCTGTTCACTTATGTCTCTTTCACAACCGCTCTGGTCTCATAGACCGGAACAAAGACAATGCCAATCCTCCCCCAGGCAATTTTGTCGAGATCTATATGTTCGGCACCCTTTGAACTTGATTGTATGAACATCCATTGATGCCTTGGAAGTTCATTGTATGATCAACAATCAAGCATAATGTTCATCACCAAACTTCATATGACCATATAATGCGACATACTACAGATGAGTTGGTATCATCTCAAGCATTCTTACTCACTACAACTCAACAACATAGTATTCCAGAAGTCGTCCACACTAAACTTCGAGGCTTTCGAGTCCGCACAACTTGCACCCAGACACTGAAACAATAATGGACCTCAAGGATAAGCAGCCCATCAGGATGTTTCCCCTCAACTGCATTCCCCCCAAGGACCCCCCTCCTGGAACACCCGAGCCATGTATATGGCAATGTCACAACTGCGGGCAGGACTACAGGATCTCCGTCACAAGCCGCTGTATCAAGTGTCCCTCATACAACAGTAGTCCCCCTTACAAGTACCTGTCAGGCAAAAGCTCAGACGGCGGACCTACCAGAACATATCAAAAGTCTCCCCTCTCATGCAACCATAGTCCAGGTAGCAGCTCTACTACAGAGGCTGAATCGTCTCCCACAAGCCGTAAATACTCAAAACGTCCATCCATAACGCTTTCTAACTACGACTACGAGTTCTGGAATCAATACAATGACTGGAAGCGCTTTCGCTTAGAGTATGAAGCGAGACCTGAGAGAGGGGAGAGCCGCATCAAGCGCAGCTTCGATGGCTTGGATAGTGCACAGCGTCGAGCGAAGCGATACAAATTCGAAGTCGAAGCACGCACTCATCTTACGGTGGAAAGACTGGTACGCATGCTTGAGAGGAAGCAAAACTGCGAAGTAGGCTGCAACTTTCCCGGCCAGTGCCACACAGAGCGCTATGAAGCATTAAGGAAGAGACCCCCGAAGGCCACAGGAGGCACGTTCCACTCCACATACTATGACGAGGATGAAGAAGAAGAAGAAGCAGGTAAGCTGCCCCTTTGTGAGCTTTTACCACAATTCGATCAGGAGATGACAAGTCCTGAAGACATTGATGATTATGAGGATGAGATATTTGCGGCATACAGGAGGGTTGTTGATGCTTGGTGTGCATCGACTCTGGCGAAGTCGAGTTGAAAGGAACAAGGAAGATACCGAGGGGTGATGAGTAGAAGAGAAGTAATTGACGGCAAAGACTGGCCACAGGAGGGAATGAAACTTATGATAATAAAGAAGGGTACCTAAACTGGTCTAAAGCTTGACTAGATAAACTGAACTTACCTAAGTCTTTCCATCACTTAGGATGAAGGTCTCAAGTCTTCTTGCCTGCCCTTGGGTGGCATGGAACAGATATTCAGGGAATATGAGATGATGAAAAGCATAGCAAAGATCATGGATGCAATAGGGAACTATTTTGAGTGAGCGGACCATAATAGATAAACATCATTTGAACACGCGTGATAGCTTCATTAATCCACATTCCTAACACAAACAGATCATAACAAACCACACTGATTTTAACGTTGAACGTTCGATGACTAACCAGGAACTTGTATTTCCGTGTCTACCTAATCCAGTCCATCAGCACAGCGGTTCCGTGTCGCATCTCATACCAGACCAGACCAGACACCAAGGTGAAAACACAACTGTTGTACACAGCTCGCGCAACTCAAACAGCACAGGGCATTTCGTCATAACGTGAACCCTCTCGTCATCGGGTATCGGCTTCTAGAGGCGACCCGAGAGCTCGTCGTGTGCTTATTGAAAGCGCAGGCGCCCTCAGCTATCCAAGCTGTGGTCGTGCGGACGTCCGCTCATATCTCGACGCGACGCCCCCATCGAATTCGAATTCAAGCATTTCTGCATTACCATCCCAGATACCGGTTTACCGCAAGTCCCAAAGAGAAAAAGCAAAATAGAGCCTTATACGATACGTCTTTAGCCTTCAAGTGCCTTGGCCTTCTTCTTCTGCTCGACCTTGAGCAGCAGAGCGCGGTTGATGTGTGGAAGGACACCACCGTAGGCGATTGTCGCACGGATCAGGGTGTCGAGCTCCTCGTCACCACGAATGGCAAGTTGGAGGTGGCGGGGTGTGATACGCTTCACCTTGAGATCCTTTGCAGCATTCTGTAACGAAATGTTAGCGTTAATTCCAGGCAACAACAACGACTCATAAACTTACGCCTGCCAACTCGAGGACTTCGGCAGTCAGGTACTCCAGAACAGCTGTAACGTACACGGCAGCCTTGGCTCCCACACGCATCTTCTGCTGGGTGTTCTGCTTGAGGAAACGCTTGACACGACCGCAAGGGAACTGTGAAGTACCATGTTAGTACGAGTTTAAATGAAACCAACAATCCTTGATAGAAATATTTCCCGAGCCGTCTTTGTTTGCGCATTCCGTCATGTCCCGTTTCAGCCCAACATGCATACAAACAACGTCGACAGCCGCCCCAGAATATCGGTGACCAGTTGCCGAACCGTCGCATCAGCTCAAACGCGCGGCGAGGGCCAAATGCAGGATGCGCTGTCAATTTGAAAAGATTTTCTCGTCGTGCGGAGATGTTCGACGCGTCGAGAACGGATCGCGAAACTTGAAATATGTGGGATGCGGGACATGGCAGGTGCGCAAATCGGTCGACAAAGCAAGCCTATCCTCCTCTTCTACCTCTCAAGTTGAGACTCACCTGAAGACCAGCACGAGCAGAGTGGCTCTGCTGCTTCTTGGTGCCCTCAGCAGCGCTCGTCTTGCCGCCGGAGCTCTTTCCGCCAGAAGACTTTCCCTTTCCACCAGGCATTGTTGATATGATCGCGTAAAAAAAGTCGTAAGATAAAAGTATCAAAAATTTGGGGATGAATCAATACGGGTTCGAACGCGGTAGCCGATCGGTCGAAATGGCGATTGATGTTGTTGATGTGAAAAACGCGGGATCGAGAGTTCGTAGTGGCAGAAATTTAGCGGGCTGCGGTGCGGTGCTGATGTTGTTTCTTCAGGCAGGCTCTGGCCAAGGGCGAGCTTGCGTGAGATGCGGTGCGGGATTGGATGGTACAGAGGTACATGCCTCAGGTAGCTTCTTGCTGCTGGAAGCTTAATTGCTCATTGCACTTGCCGATGAAGAGGCGTTTCTCATTGGCTGAGTGACCCGAGATAAACCCGGCCATCAAGCTGGGCCAGCAAAGGCTGTGTGAGAAGAGGCACTTGGTTAGGTATCACCAAAACAGGGTTTATGGTGCTGCAAAGTCCTCAAAAAGGGAAAATATAGATCAAGGAAAGGTAGCATGTTCAAGAAAGACTTCTTTCAAGCTCCTAGAGGTGTTGGCGGAGGAGCTGTGTTGATACTTACTTGGCTCATCTCATCTTTGTTTGCTGTCATGCTTGGAACGGGTTGCCGCATATTCACAGCTGTGTCTCACCCGGAGATTGTTGAATGCCATAAGGATGATACAGCATGCACTGGCATGGCTGCTGGTACAGAAGCGGTATCTTTTCGGTTTCTGACAAGCCAGGGCATCTTGTTAGACACTTGATGAGATGTCGTTGCGTATTGAACAGTTGAAACCCAGGCTCGGTTTGGGGTTGATCATGTCCCGCTGTGGCTGAAGTGTGGCTGTTCCGGCCCCTGTTAGCCGAGCATTTACCTGACTCACAACCACCAAGCCGAGCAAATGCTATATCTTCCTTGCCTACCTTAGTACCTTATGTTGGTAGGTCTGATACTTGGAAACAAGTTTACATGACCTTTGAATGGACCTATGAGCCGATGTTGGAAAACCACATTGCCTGCTCCCGTGGTGGAATGCATAGAATCTCTCAATCTGAGCAAGCCATCTGGCTAGGTCTTTCACACCTGTCGAAAGCTTCAACTCAAGTATTCTTGCACTTTCGGCTTTTTCCAAGCACTTTACTACCTTGCCTATTCACGTATCCAACCGTGGCCGAGACAGTTATCCAAGGCAATTCCGTCCCAATTACTGTATTCTACTCTCTTATTTGTTTTATGTTGCAATATTTGCCGTTGGCACTGCACTGCAGCCCAGGGCCGCCACTATGAATGTGCCTTCCACATTTTAGAGAGGGAAGAGGATGGCCTTCATTCTCCCATAACATTTCCACCTCTCCCGTTTATCCAAGAAAAAAAAACATTTTGCACCTAGCTTTTTCTCAACTCCTGCTTGCGAACCTTTTCACTGCACATGGCCAAGCCCCCAATTCACTCTTCCATTATCCGAAGGAGAAAAAAGCCCTTGCATGTTCAGCATGGCCACTACTACAAGGATTCATCACTTACCACCAGAGACCCTCGACAATGTCATGTCGTTTCTTCCACCAGCTGATGTAAAGAATCTACGACTCGTCGACCACAGGTTTTCGCCATTGGCCACACGACGGCTATTTCGCCGCACTCGATTGCTGGCCCGAGCAAAAGACAACAATGACCCTCAACGTTTCATACAGCTCGCCAATTCTGAGTTGAGTGGACTTGTCCGCGAAGTCAGCTGTGATGTTTCCAGCATAGTAAACAATGGATATTACTATATGGAAAAGGACCAATTCGAGTTTCTTCCTGTCTTCTGGGATGCCTTGCCCCTTCTTGCTCGCTTTCAAAATATTCAAACTCTGCATCTGTGTTTTGATGCCAGCTTCGCATTGCGAGATTTCAAAGCAGGTTCCAGTCAGTTCAGAAATAAGGTGTTGAAGACCATTTTTCGCGTTTTGTCGGGAACATTCACCGAGGAAGTGTCAAACGCCTCTGATACACTTTCTGGTGCCACAATCGAGATTCCACCTCAGGGCACACTGCCATCTCCGATTACTCTATCCACTCTCATAATATCCAATTTGGGAGATTACCATGATCCGGGACTCACGAACATGCCTGAGTTCAAAACAGCCATGATGAACATCAAGGCCTTGAGGCTTGACATAGCGCAGTACAAGGAAGGGAGGGCAGAGGGATTCTCAGAAACAACCGCGTTTCCAAATCAATGCCAGGAGATGTTCACTCAGCTACCTTATACTTGGCTGTCATCTGCGGTCTCCGCCCATCTACAGGTCCTCTCGCTGCATTATCAGTCCTTTTGGGGTTGGTTTCCTAACATTGATATACGCCTCATCAGTGGCAGAAACGGAATGCCCAAGCTCAGGAGCCTTACTTTGGGGTGCTTTATCTTCAGCCATCAGCGTGAGGTAGACTGGATAACTTCTTTAGATCTTGAGGAGCTTTTTCTCGAAGGTTGCGCCGTCCTATCCAAGCACGTTGGCCATCCAACCACGCAGAAGGGCTTCTGGACTGATGGCCACGAGTTACCTGCAACAACCAAGGTTGGTGGACAGGTGGAGAGGACTGATTTGTGGTGGCATGAGATCATTTGGCAAATTCGCAGCTCTATGCTGAACCTCAAACGATTTTGCATATTAAAGCAGCCGGATCTTTATGACCATTATCAACCTTTTTACGACGTAAACAGCCATCTCGGTCCCGAGCTTTCCCTAGACGAGAGAATGGAGCACGGTAGAGATCTCTGGCGAGAATTCAGAGCCCTCAGCAAAAAGAACTGCCTGCCTTGGAACCCGTCGTTTCAGCACTTTACATGTGCCACGTCGCCCAAGTTATGCCTCGAATCAGACGTGTTTCTTTACTCCCATTCCGATTGTTCTACGAAATTTATTACACGTTCGTCCGAAAGCAATTATTTTTCTCACGGTCCCACATACATGGAGCAGGCCTCATATGATCGGGGTTTGTTTGACGTCGAAGTTGAACCGGTAATCAGGAGCATGAACAAATTGGCGAGGATCGAGGTTGTCATACTACATTCTATGTTGTCCAAGAAAAGGAAAAAGGAGCATATGGGCGCTGAAAAGTTGAGGCTGGCCCAGAAAATGGGGCTCCATGACACAAATGAATATATGGAAGGCGTACTGCGCCCTCTGCTTACGTCTGATGAGCGGATCCTCCTCGAGTTGATATTGCATCTTTCAGACAGTGAATATATCCCAGCAACATGATTCTTAGCAGCCACACATGAGAAAAACGCATTTTGGGCCCAGCCAGAAGGCAAGCAGGGGAGTTCTGATGTCATTGGTCTGTGTTGTCGCAGCCGTATTTTCAGTAATGATTGAAATGGGCATGCGCCGGGCTTGGAGGAAAACGAAATTCAGTGGAGGAAAGATCAGACAAGAGACATGCCGGCCGGATACCTATAATGCAGGACTCCATCAGCCGAGTATGGTTTTTCCATTATATCTAATGTACCAGTCACTCTTTGTAATTCGGTTTGCCAGTGAAGGATGTCATGCAAACGCCGAAGATTGTTCTGTGGGGGAACACATCTCTACAGTATTGAGGGTATACATGTGTCAGAGAGTGTCATGCTAAAAGGTCTATCTCGTGTTCTGTGACTTCACACATGGTGTCAATAGCGAAACTCAGAGCAGAACGCTGATGCCCAAGACGAGTAGCATTTGACTGCTGGTCGCGTTCCGTGAACAGTATGAAGCAATTCAAAACAACACCCAGTCAATCCCAAAGCGGTCGCGGCTTATCGGCATGTTTAAATTAAGGCCGGGATTTTATGATTCCAGTCCATAGACTGCAGACGAGGTTATGGGAGCAAGAGCGTAATGAAGGTGAGGGAGGGGAATGTACGGAACAGACTTGAACACTTCCACATTGCGCTCTGGAGAAAAGGAATAGATTATAGAAGTCGCACAAAGGCCATAATGAGTTTCTGGTGATACTTTACTGACAGCAGTACAAACTTTGGCTATCTATCCCATAGCGAGGATTCCCTAGTGTCTGTCACGAGGAAGTGAGAACTACCTACCGCCGAGGCGGCCCACTCCTCTGAGAAGGATGAAGATTCGACATTTCACTTATCTTAAGTCACTACAATGCGCTCAGAAACAGGCTTTTGTTTCGAAGCTGAAACTTCAAACCCTCGTGGATTGGACCAGTGTCAACTAGTCATGAACATCTAGTGTCGCTTAACGAACAGATGATGTATCAAATATCGAATGAAGCATTTTGCAATTCCAACAAAGGATCTTTTTAGTATACAATATAATTTGTCTTAAACTTCCAATCCTGGGATGTATGTAAATTCAGCTCATGTATCAAGAAATGCCAGTCTCATTCTCCTCATCATCCATACCTTATGCGATTGCCGATTCCAATCAGAGTGAACCCACCTATGGAACCGACGATTGAGTTTCTATTTTCGGCATTCCATCAATAACTCTCATCAGCATGTCGTTGATTCTTGTTTTGATTGATTCAAGTCCCCCGGTGATCGCTCATGTGCGACTCTCAAGGAGCGACACACATGGTTGAGGAAGTTTCTATTCTTGTCATTTGTCAGATTGTCCCTTGTATTTCAAAAGTCTTTATCAATCATTCCCTAGTGACCACGAGTTCAACCATAGTTTTTAAAAAGATACCCATACTGCCTTGGCTCTAATTCCCAAGAATTCCCCAGTAAGTCTGGAGGGTTACTCGAGAAGAGTCCATGTTTTCCGATGACGACTGCATGTTGGAAATCATGCGATTCAAAGAGTGGCAAGATGAGCGCTATATTCGAACCAATGCATCCCACAAAGGTGAAATGCGGAAGGTGAAGGGAACTCAAATGTTGGAAGTCGGTTGTCAGTTGTTGAAGAAGGATGAAAGACAGAGGAGGGAGAAGAGAGGGAATAAAGGAGGAAGAGTGAAAAAGAAGAAGAGTCAATATTTCCTCCACATCATCGCCCTAAGTTTGAGATTCTCCGTACATCTGTGTTCCGCTGGAAATAAAGGATTTGGCGATGAAATCGTGCCAGAACAACACCGAGGTTGTTGACGCTGTCTATGGCCATTTGGGGTCATTCAACACCTTGAAGAACAAGACCATCGGGAGGCCTGTAAAGGATTATTCGAGGCTTGCTCTGATTTGACTCAAAGAATGCAAGTTTCAGTGGGAGGTGATTTGAAAGCTGTATCTTAGAGCTGAGTTACTGGATATCTGAATCCACCACCCTTGATAGCAATGCCTACATACCTATTTCTATTCTATCCCATATCTCGAGAATTCGGATAAATGCAGGGCACCTTTTTTCTTTCTGTATGACTTGGGGAAAATGCTTAGCTCCTGGGGCTGATTTTCGGCCTAATATCCAGTCTTGATAAGGTCCGATTCGGGATCCCCTAGGCATTTAAGCACTTGACAAACTTGTTGAACCTATGATTGGCTCGTAGCTGAAGCATCGCCAAGCCCTTGGTCTGTTTAAAGTAAAAATTATTTCAGTGTCCATTCGAACCTCATCAAATGAACAAAGTCATTAGGTGAGAGCGAAAATGGAGACAGCGGCGTGGAGATGGTGGGTAATTTATACAAACAGTTCAAACATCACACCTTGAACCGCTAGTATCTTATCTAACGCTTCCAACCACACAAGTGATCAATTTAGGTACAATGCGAAGCTTCAAATGATTAAAGAAAGAAAGATGGATGGTGAAGTTGAAGTCAAAGCAATTGATGGGCAATATGTAGATTTAGGAAGCAAGAAAGCTTCAGATGCTCAGCTCAGATGCCAAAAATGGCTATCATACGAAGTCTCTACTAGGTTTTACCTGGATTTACCCTAAGGCTTTTTTGTCATTTATTAAGATAGAGGTCCTAAGTTTTCTTGCTTACCCTTGGCAACGTCGCTTCAACGAGATCCGGGAATAGCTCCGTAGTATCAGCGAAAAGAGGCGAGTTGAGAGCTGAGTGTGAGTGGTCAGTGGTGAGTAGGCGAGTCGAGCTGCATGCTGCAGCTGCAGCCATAGCTGCGGGCAAGAGGCGAGGGCGGAGGCCTGCATATTGGATGCCGATGGAATGGCACTTTGGGAATGATTTCCACGGTACTGTAGATCTAGCGTCAGATCCTGTGTCGCGTTGGTGCCTGACCTTGCCTCCTCTCCCCATTCACTAAGACCAAATCCTCTGGTCCTTACATAGGATGAGGGAGTGGCAAGTGTCATGGTGGCGATATCATGGAAGAAAGCCGTGAGGCTCATCTCATGGCGAAAAGGGAAATGGGGCGTTGCAGCGGCTGACGCCGATCCCCCACTAGGCTTGAATGATGAAACATTCACTTCTGGTTGGTGACTGTAAACATGGGATCAAGACATCAATCAATCCTGAACCTGCTGGAGGTCTCGCGGCATGAGACATCACAAGTCGTAACTGGGCCAACTTGCAATCTGTGGGTGTAGCCAAAGACGTCTCATGACCGTATTTACTCTTGTGCATCATGCTTCAACGAGACACGTGCTCTTACAAAGTGGTGGGCAACAAAAAGGTTGGACAGCCAAAATCATGACTTCAAAACAGGGTAGACAAGAATCAAGCTTCATCTACAGAATTATTGCACATCTTATGCCACATGGATATCATATATGCTTAGATCGGTTCACAAAGGATGCCGCCGCGTGTTTGCGCGGACAGGCCAACAGAGAACAGACCCGGGGAGAAGATCCGTCTGCCGGAGCTTCTAGAGCATTTTCACGAGGGTTCGTTCATCTTAAAAAAAGAGAGTTCAGGGGTGTCGACTGTCGGCCGCGTGATCTATGAGCCGCCATCTCCGGGGGAATGGACAACCGAGCGACGGCGAGATGAGGCTAAGCTGGGATACCTTGAGAAGAAAAGACCCCTCTGTTTTTTGTGCGTGTAGGAGACAGCGGCGAGGCGAAATAGGATGCGCTAGTGAGGCTTCTCGAATTTGACAGGCGAGCAAGAGAGAAAGGAGATGAGGGGCCAAGCAATGAATACCATCTATAGTGACATGCTTTGTTGACCAGTCGTTGCTAGAAGGTGAGGTAGGTCTGCGACATACACGAGCTTCATTTGAAGTGTGATCCACCCAAGTTCGATATAAACGATACGACAGACCAATACAGAAGGCAAACTCAACTTGAAAAAGGTCTGAGAACAAGCTGATCCTCTAACTCTTCGTAAGAGACTCAGCCCCTCCAGCTAATCAACGCTCAATTTCCAGGGACCCGGGTCCCCTCGCTCGTCTCTCCTGTACCATACCAGGGCTTACGGACAAGGGACACGAACGACGACCCAAAGACTGGGGAGTCCCCTGAGATCAGGCTTGGCCCCTGATACGGCCCAGGTGGGCGGGTTAGGATGACCCTGGCTTCGTCATGGGCATTGGGAACGAACAAAGAGGGGCAGAGTTTTGGAAAAAAGGAAGAAGCACTGTAGAAGTAAAAGGGGGTTCAGGAAATATTATCACCTCTTTTCAGTTTGTTCATCGTGAAAAGAATGGGCTTGTGTTTTGTGTCTTGCGGCGCAATGACGTGTATAAAATGGGAATTTGTGAGGATTGGTGTCCCCCAGGTGATGCATGTTTTCTTTTTCCTCTTCTTGTTTTTGTCGAAAAGTTTATTATTCATTAGAGAGTCTTACATGCTTTTTGTACTCCACCACTTGATTGGCTTCCCGTCCGACGGGCCGCTCGCATGTACCTCCATAGACGAAGAGATAGAGAGTCCTGCTAAGGTACTAAGTTAATGTGAAAGTCAAAACAAGCAGTTTGGTCTGCAGTAGAGACAAGTCAGGTGCTGTTATGCATACGCTCGGATAAAAGGTAAAAAGTTATGGACATTTGATGGCCAAAGTGTCTGTCAACAAACAAGCGGTAGACGATAGCGCGTACTAATGAAAAAAGCAGGGCAGCAGGCTGCAGACAGACAGGGTCAAGAAAAGAGCCGCAGCAGCATCATTGCACGTGGCTTTGACGATGAAGAAAAACCTAGAATAGAGTAGTCGAATTTCCGCATGAACATGCCATTCTAATTGAGGCATCTCAAACCTCCCTTGGCAACCCCTGGAAACACGGTGCAAGTCGAGAGAGGGAGTGAGAGAGACATGCCATGTCACCTCGTCGTCGTCTCTCTTGTCTTGTCTTGTCAGTCTCTTGTGTGACGGAGAGTGATTTGACTGTGTGAGGGAGGTGATTACGCCGCATGAGCTAGGTAGCTAACGTTAGCATCGTCCGGGGAGCTTCACTGAGCAAGCCGGCCGGGTGTGTCATAAAGGGGAGCTAAAGATACGATGCGAGATGGAGGATGGAGCAGAATCATTACAAGATGAGACGCCAGTTAGATACGATACAGCCAAGATTTTCCGCCGGTAATGACTATCGATCTGCGGGACTGTGACTGTCTCGTCTCTGTGAGTGTTACAGTTGGATGCCTCACTGACAATGACAATCTCATCTCGACTCTTTTCTCACACCATGGCATCCCCTATTTCCTTTGGGTAATGAAAGTATTGGAACAGTGCTACCCAACAAGCTGAAAGGATCAGAGGTTGTGCTTCATAGCCCACCTTATCCGTACATTATATCCATCCTATTCTATGCTGAACTGTGACCCCAACTGAGTCACTTGCAGGTTCATGCATCACATCGAGTCAGGTCTTGACTGAGAGTCATTTGCTTGGTACCCAACTGAACTGGCAAAAGAAATGCGACACGCAGGCTTGAGCTGCAACCTATACGTGCAGTAGTATACCTCTAAAGAATTAGCTGGTGTTACCTGGCGATGCACGTAATACCAGATCTGAATGCATAGCGGTATGCACAACATAAAAGTCGCTCCAACATTTTCTGCTAGACATAATGAACACTCAATCCATATATGTACGTCTCTCGTCGATGGCCACAGACACAAAGCAAAACTCCCATCACAATTGGGCGTGTCCAATAACATGCGGTCCACTGACCCTGAGCTAAGAGATACCGGTGTCGGGATGACGTTGCTCGCACTGTTGGAGCATCTGCCACAGTTGGACCTCCAGGGATAGAGCATCTGATTTGCTTCTCTACAACCATCACGAGGTGTCATTCTGCAGCCTTTCCACAAAAACATCAGCATCAAACACCCAATACCGTCAGCCTCTTGTACTCTCAGCCTTTCAAGAGACTGACTGTCTTTCTCAAATCAATGCCAACCTAGTTAAAGTGGTGGCTTGACGAAAGCCGGCCAGCCTCCCCTCGTCCCGGGCTCATCACTTAATTTTTTTTCACAAAGCCCCCACCATGAGCTAAGAATTTAGAAGTGCATTTCGATCTAACTTAGAGTAAGTGTAGTAGGGAAAAAAAAGAAAGGCTAATATTAGACACGGTGCTGTTTAAAAAGAGCCAGGCTTTCATTAACGGTCAAGTTAACCGGTATTGCTAGCGAATTAGATACTAAATAAGTTCGAGCGAGTCGTTGAATGAATGATACCCAACAATGAATGAATGGATTGGATGGATCTTGAACAATGGAATGGTAAATCTCAAGGGCCACCTCATGGCATGGGGTCCCAGAACAACCCCTTGACGAGCATCTCAGGGGATGGGCATGCTAGGGTTCCACAGTGGACTTCTGACAGCTGGAGAATAATTGAACTGCGCTGAAAACCCCACCAATTTGCGCCGGGCTTGGGGGTGTTGCTGTTCTTCTCAGGTGGCTCAACACAGTGTTTGCACTGTCCTAACGACGCCGCCCCATCCCACCTCATTCGTTCATATTGGAGGTCAGTCATGGATCCATGGATCCCCAGGAGGGCAAAGAGAGGGAAAAAATCAGGGCCCCTCCACGGCTGCTGGCGCTGCTGTGACTGGTAACTAACTAGTAAAGAGTCAGGACAGAACCTGAGAGGAACCTAAAGTTAAAGGAACCTGAAGGGAAGGGAAACTTGCACGGGAAACTATTCGCCGTCCGCTGTCACCTCCCCAACCACATCCACCCGACACTTAATTAATCCCCTTCTCAATCAATCAATCAGTCCTCTCTCTTTCTTTGGTTACAACACCCCCGTCTCCCGTCTCCCGTCCGCCGTTTTCCCGTTCCAGATCATCCATCCATCTCTGAGAACGTCCCGGACATTTTGCTAACTGGGACTTGTTCCATCTTTTTTCCTCCCCGTCCCCTTTTCTACCTCTGACCTCTCTCTCTCTTAAACCTCATCATTTATCCTCCTCCTCCTTCCCCTCTCTTCCCCCGATTTTCAGTCGACCTCTTCTTCTCTTCCTTCTTCCCCCTCTCGTCTCGTCTCCCTCCCTTGATTACTCCTCCTCCGTCATCCGCAATTTGGTTCGTCCACACCCAACAGCCCTTACGTCTACGAAACCTCCATTCGACCTTTTTGCACCAACGAGAAGACGAGGCCATCACGCGAACCCAATTCCCCCTTTCGCGCGACTATTTCTTGCTCATTAGTAGTCTTTTTATTAGCTACTTCTGAGACGTCGCTGATTTCCAGGGTCATCCGCCTATCACCTTTGGCTCCCAGAAATATCAACTACAACCATTAAGTAACGCTCTTTGACGCTACTCCGCCATTGTCTGCCAAATCTTCGAATACAGGAATTTGGTTCATTCGGCCTCCTTCGTTGTGCTGGCTGTATTTTGTGCGCCTTTATCGCCACCCAGGATCTCGCAGTGCCTTCGTTTTAAGCTTCGCGCATTTGTTGCCCGAGGCCTCAATCTTGTTTTAGGCATCTCGCTACACCTGGCGGAACAAGCTTTTGTGGTCATTGACCCTGAGGCGGAACCCCCGAACCTTGTTTCACCCGACCCTTCTTGAGCACTTTATAGACGGTTTCTTCTGCGCCTGGTACCCTCAACTTTACTTAGCTACACCGCTTTCACGACCGAGACCCACGAGCCAACGATTTGATGCCGCATTTTTAACTGCTTGTTACGCATCCCCCGATACCCCCTCGCGTCTGCATTCCTGACACTGCACATTCTGTACGTGTCAGCTTGATATAAACCTTCAAGGAAAGCAGGTGAAGTCGACTGCTGGGTAAAAACAGCAGCTATTTGCCAAGCTGGATCCCATCATCACAATGTCGCAGCAACCGCACGATATGGGTTACCTTGACTATGGTACATCAACCAATCGCTCCCCGAACTCGAGACAGAACTATGCTACGGCCGGTGGTTTCGCTGGCCTCTCACTACCTCGCCAATCCCAACGCCCTTTTGACGCTCCTCTAGGCTCATCTGCTCTTTACCCTGCCGACAGGATCGGAAGTGGGTACAACCAGCGTGGTATGGAGAACATGGCTGGTATGCAGGGCTACATGCTGGATAATGGCCAAGCTTGGAACTACAACACAACCGGAGTCGCCACAGTGAACGGTGCCTTGAATGGCCCTGGACGGCAACGAAACGTGAACCGACGAGCCGCTCTTCCCCAGGTATGTAAATATGGAAAGTTTATATGACTATGTCTGATTAGAAACAGAACTGGACCGATCACAGCGCGCTTGGTATTCATGGTAACCATGGAGGTCTTCAGCCCTACCAAGGAGGCATGAACAACAACCCCATGTCAAATGGTGGTCTCCGTGTTGAGCACCCCGGATCTCACGGCTCCCCCACTGATCTTCGATCAAACACCTCAGACGCCGACCAGCTTATCCCTACAGCTATTGTTATTAAGAACATCCCTTTTGCCGTTCGAAAAGAGACTCTGGCTTCTATCATGCTTGAGATGCACCTCCCTCAGCCATATGCTTTCAACTACCACTTTGACAATGGCGTCTTCAGAGGCCTGGCTTTCGCGAATTTCCAGTCTGCCGAGGATACACGCATGGTGATTGAGGCGATGAACGGCATGGATGTCCATGGCCGTAAATTACGCGTTGAGTACAAGAAGATGCTCCCTGAGGCTGAGAGGGAGAGGATTGAACGCGAGAAGCGAGAACGACGAGGCCAACTTGAGGAGCAGCACCGTGCTCCCATGCTACACCAGCAAAGCTCTATCCAGTCACTTGGTAGTCTTTCACAGTCTCAAGCCAGGGGCCCATCGCACCTCGGCATGCTCGAGGCATCTCGTGTTCAGTCTCCGGCGCTGACCATGCCAGGCGATGTTGATTTGAACGACCCCCAGACTCTCGAGTTCTACACTGAATTGGTTATGTTCCGTCGCGACGACTCCCGAGAGGTTCTGGTCTTCCCTGCTGGTATCGCTCCTGAGCATCGACGATCCATCCACATTCTCGCACACAATATGGGCCTTGAGCACCAGTCCGTGGGCGATGGCGAATCGCGCCAGCTTACGGTGCTGAAGCGACAACAGCCGTCACCCACCGCCCACATCCACAGTCAGCCAGGCACCAACCTGGACATGCATAAGCGTGGCCTCAGCCGTGCTGCTACATTTGACTTTGCCGCTGACCGTGAGACACGAGCTGCCAGCAGCAATTACTCCCACATGATGGGTCGACAGGGTCCCACTATCGAGCTTCCCGGAAGCCCTGAAGGCAACGGCATTCCCAACAACCTTCGAGCCGCCAAGAGCTTTGCTGATCTGCGATCCTTCACCCCGAGCCCTTCGCAGGCTTCCTCCAGCTACCTCGCTCCTTCGGGAATGAACAACATGGGTGGTAGCTCGACTGCTGCTCGCTTCGGTGACTACATGGGAGGTGCCATGTCACCTTCTGGCCACCCTGGCAACTCTGGGACACCTGGACCCAAGAATGACTCTGCTCTTCTGAGCAGCCTCAACAGCCTGAACTTGGGTTATGACTCTGCCTCCATGCAGAACCAGGCGCGAAGCACTCCTGGCGCTATTGGCAGCCAGCGCCCCGGTAACAGCTCTAAGGGAGCACCCGAGCGACAGCCTCGCGGACCTGAGTGGGAGACCAATGCCGGATTTGCTGGGCGACGTGCTAACGGCCACGCCACGCGCGGTAGTGGTGGTACGTCAACTGAGACATGGAACGATTGAACACTGGCTAATTCACAATAGACTCATCCGACAACGGAGCACGCGTCGGTTCAAGCTCAACCAACGCTTCGCGATATCACTGAGTGTGATTCTTTGGCCACCCCTTGATGGGTTAGGCTTCGACGACCTGTATGTCAGGCGCCGACTACAACTGCGCGTATCATTACGGATTGACGACAATGACCACGACGCATTGAAATTTTGCATCGCATTTGCTTTTATGACTTGTAATACCGACATACCTGGGGAAGTGATGGCAGGAATTTCACTTGTCTTGTTGAACCCCATTGCATATAGTTTACGTGGGAACGGTTTTATGACTTTTGAAGATTGTGGGGGACGACAGTGGCCTAAGGAAGTGTGCGTGTGGCCGACATGATGACAGTTACCGATGAGAGAGAGCATGGGATAGGATATCTGGATACACAAATGTTTTCGACACAACTGGGCAACCAAAGATGTACAAGGTCACAGACTACAGACAGAAGCACTTGGCAGCACGCATGCACGCATAACCTGGAATACCCTCAGGACGTACGTACCCCCGACAAGACCTACGACCACTATCACCACCACCACTTGACGATTATGACGCTTTTACGACGTTACGTCTAGACAGCTATACCGGCTTCTCCTCATCAGGCTGTTCAGCGTCAGCAAATGGGAGGGGTTGCCTCGGCGACTTACAACCTACTACTATACCCACCAAATCAAATAATTTCTGTCTAGGCGCTGTTCCTGGCATGACCGCGACGATGAAGACGACACATTTGGAGACGCCCGAGTCCGGCTTTTGGACCAAGGGGCACTGAAAGGGGCCGATGGACGAGTGCGAACATGGGTGATTTTTGAGTCGAAGGCCCGGCCCCGTTGGAAGGAAAAGAAAAAAGTTACAATATCTGGTTATCTGCATTACAGTTGAATTGTCTTGGTTCATGGTTCTGTTACTGTTACAGTTTCTGTTTATCCTTTATTTTTATCTATTTTTATTTCATGTACGGATTGGACGAGAGCGGTATTATTCTGATCTCACTTGATTAATTCTTGATCTGCCTGGTCGCGGTGACTCAAGGAGAGTTAGAGATGGGTGTTGGAATGGGACGCGTGTGGGCTATTTGGCTATCGTTGACTGGAGATGTTTTGAGGAAGTTGTAAACACGAACAAGAGAACGAGCAGAGAGAGCCAAAGAGAGATGAGATATGCCTTGCGAACAAAAGTGTACTGATCAAGTGGTGATGTGATGTGTTGTGATGTGCTTTGGCTGTTGTTTGAATAGATGATTTGCTGCGTGTCTGTATTGTATTGTATTGTATGTATACCACCCAATCAATGTCTTAACCGCGCATGATGAGAGTTACTTATCAACAACGCATCATCAAGACCCACATCTTTGCACCGTCAAACTCGAGTGACTGCTCATCTTCAACTCTTACTCAACCTGTTTCGAAAAACGTTCAACTCATAACGTTTCGCCGAGCATCAACGAGACTTGATTATTAAGACATTTCTACATCACGGGCGTTGATACCTGAAACGATCTAGTCCTTTCCTCTGATAGGGCGACCGCTTTGAAACCTCATCCACCAAAAGCGACGTCATCTCCACTTTGTAAGAGAAGCATTGACTGATAGTTGACGTCGTCTGTTCATCGTATTTATATATCCTCTCTTTTTTCTTTTTTTTTCTCCTTTCATCATGGCGAGCTTCATCTCTTCATACCTACCGTTTGGAAAATCAAAGGACGAAAATATGCCGGCGCCTGAGAAGAACAGACAGTGGACCACGGGTCAGGATGGCCTTGATAAGCTTGCTTTTAGGGAGGGTGAAGTTCCCAAGCCGAAGGAGGGAGAGGTTTTGGTCAAGGTTCTTGCTGTTGGGTTGAATTATCGCGATACTGAAGGTAAGTTGTCCCTGACGTGGAATAAAGGGGGTGATACTGACTGTTGGAAGTCATCAATGGTGATTACAACCACCATGCCTCTATCCAAGACACAGACGCTCTCGTGCCTTGCTCCGATATGTGCGGCACCGTCATCCAGAGCTCATCGTCTAAACTCAAAGTCGGCGCTCGCGTCATGTCTATCTTTAACCAGACTCATCTCACAGGCCAAGTCACCGAGAAAGACATGGCCTCTGGTCTCGGTCTCCCTCTCCCCGGCGTCCTAACAGAATATCGCTGCTTCTCAGCGGATGCTCTCGTCCCAGTGCCCGATTACCTCTCCGACGAAGAAGCAGCGTGTCTCCCCATCGCAGCTGTGACCGCCTGGATGTGCATCAACGGCATGCGACCGCTCGGGCAACCTGCTGATGGTGGTAAGAAGAAGGAAACAGTTCTTCTGCAGGGCACGGGTGGTGTAGCGATTGCGGGCCTGCAGATCGCTAAGGCAGCTGGGTTGAACGTCATCATCACTTCTTCATCCGACGACAAGCTCGAGCGCGCGAAGAAGGATCTCGGCGCTGACACGGGCATTAACTATCGCACGCACTGGGAGTGGCAAGAGCCCGTAATGAAGGCGACAGAGAACCACGGCGCGGACATCATCTTCGAGACAGGCGGTGCGCGAACACTCCGCAAGTCATTCGACTCTGTAGCCTTTGGCGGGCTGATCAACTGCGTGGGCTATCTCTCCGGCAAGGAAGAGGAGCAGGACACCGGGGGCAAAGTGGGCGTGAATGTGCTGGCTCTGAGGAGGAACGTGACGCTCAAGGGGATCCTGAATGGGCCGAAAGATCGGTTTGTGGAGATGGTGGCGTTTTATGAGAAGCATTCTATTCACCCTGTTGTGAGCAAGGTGTTTGGGTTTGAGGAGGCGAATAAGGCTTTGGAGTTTTTGAGCAGTGGGCAGCATTTTGGAAAAGTAGTGGTGAGGGTTTCGAAGAAGGAATAGAGTAGAAAGTCTACACGGATCATGAGATAGAAAGATACTTGATATAAGTGAGTGTCATTTGTGCTACGTTACGTTGATATCGTGTTCATTCGTTTTTGGCTATGGTTATCATCTGGTGTAACACCAAGATAACGTAGGAGTACAGTTTTACACGGCGGCACATATAAAATCAGCAATTGTGGTTCGAGAGCTGTGTTGAGGTCTCATTATAATTATCATTGCATTGCATTACTTGGTGTCTAGAAACCCCCATGAACCTAGGAGTGAGAACCCTCCTCGTAATGTGCACACTCAGCATCTATTTCTCGTGACTTTCATGTCCATAGAAATGCTTTTGTTCTATATCGTAATTACAAAGTCTTTGGAACAACTCGCACATCAGAATCGACCAGGTCCAGCCTGTTGATCAACGGCGCAAAGATATAATCCTGAATCGGTTTAAGAACAAGAACAACACGGTTGATGCGCCATCCTAACAACGGAACCAGAGCCCCGATAAACGCATCCGTGAGGAAGTGATTCGCAGTAGCGACAATGGTAATGAGCATAGCGGTCGGCCAAAGAGGAGCGAGGATGCGCATGAATCGATGCGGAGAGAATCGACACATGCAAACTGCAAAGAAGAGCGATGTTCCAAAGTGTAAACTCGGCATCGCAGCGATAGTTAATTGGAAACGATTATTGTTCCAGACATTAGCACCCCCAGCTTTACTATGCAGAACATCAACGAAGCCATATTGCTGCGGTAGTAATCGCGGAGGCGAGCATCGCCAGAGCGTCACGATGACGAAAGCAATAGCGTTATCGACGGCGATTGTACGACGAATTCGTTGAAAGGTTGGTGATGGGAGATAAGTGTAGATGTAGATGAGGAAGAGGATGCCGATGCTGATGTGGGAGTAGTATATCTTTGCGAAGATGGGCATGAGCCACGGCTGTTGGTTCATTATGTATGACTGGAAGTATTGTTCGATATCGAGGCCAAAGAAGGATTCTAGAGTGAGGATTTGAATGGCGTGGTCTCGAGCGCGGGTGAAGATTGGTTCGTTGCCCGCGATTGCTCGGGCTGACACTGCTCGAAGGCCTTGATAGATCCTACAACCATCAGTATACACGTATAAATCAGCGTGATAAGAGAAGTACCAGTATGTCAAGTTCCAGTACCAAATCTCTATCAGGAACGGAAACGCATTGAAGAAGCGAGATAGTAGAACGAAGAACAAGTTTGGAGCTTTGCGAACTGGGTGCTCGATGTGTTGGAGGAGAGTGGGCTTCAGAGGAGGCGAGTCAACGTATCGTTGGTCTTCAACATCGTCGGGAGATTCGTTGTACGTGATTTGAGTGTCTCGCCGTCTATTGATGAGACATCCTACGGTGAATGCGAGGACGATGACTTGGAGTTGTCAGTGAGATGTAGCTTGGAGCGTGATGGTGACTTACACACTGGTTCGACCACGTTCTTTGAAGCTACAACCATGATTGAAATGAGCAAAAGGAAAAGAATACAAAGAAATAGAAGATAGTAAACACAATTATATATGATGAGGATGAATAAATACCGTGTCTATGAAAAAGAGGGTGATATAAACTGCCCATCAAGATCTATCCGGAAAAGGTAGGGAAGAAGGGCTGAAGCATTTAAGGACAAAGTGACAGACACAAGATAAAGTAAAGTCCTAGATATAAGTAGGTAGATAATAAAAGAAACAAATCTGCAGGCCAAGCAGGCATAGACAAGGTAACTAAGTTGCACGAACAAGGAAAGTTATTGGGGGGTGGTACCAAACAGGGAATAAAGCACAAGACACAAGACACAGCCAAATATTGAATGATTGCATTGCATTGTATGTCACTGCCATCGGAGAATAGGAACAGAAATACCGATGCTACTCTAATCACACCCGGCGCTTGACCATTTGGGGAACATGTCTATCTAATGTTGTATGTGCTATTCTTTTATTCTATGGCCGTCTCAAGACTTCACATGCAGCAGAATATCCCTGCTCTTACAGTAAAACAAACGTCTGATCAAGAACCCCCCTTGTCCTGTCCTCCAAACCAGTGGATACTATACTATTCTCCAAGTCCCAAAGCCTCCGCGGATGCCGTCGGACTTTATAACATCTTCAATATCGATATTACAAGCCTTGCAAGAATCTCACAGACACAACGCATTGCGGTGGCTGAGACATCATAAGCTCACCTCAGCCATCCCCATGCGGGTACAGCGCAAGTGCAATAAGCTTAACCAACACAACTGTATCTTATTCCCAGTATATTAATTAAAGACCCCCAAGCTTAATGTATCCAAACACCAATCTTGGCCGTCGAGTGACTACAGCGGCACATATCTCCCAGCGTGACGTGTTGCCAAGTGTGAATATGCATGCGATCAACACAGAGAAGGGGTTACATTGAACCCAACATGGCGATAAGTCATTGGCTCAAAGAAGGCACTGAAATTACAATTATCGTGGAGAAGACATTGCAGAAAAAAGCTTGTTTCCTTGACGTCAAGAAGATACCATCATGATTCCCAATTTAGGTCGTTGTCGAATCTTGCCCGTTCGAGATAAAAAACCCCGGCGGTTCGGTCTAGATTACCACCCCGAGATTCTCTACGCTTTCCGTGTCCGAAATCCGGAATGAGCGGAGTTTCTGGGACCGGAGCTTCACTTCCTCTGATCGGAGTCAAAGAAATGGAGTTTGGGGTTTGGAAACCTCGGTATATGGAGACTGGGAGCTTGGTATGATCTGATATGGCACGACCAAGAGGACTATAATCTCATCACCAACATGCTATTCTCCAACATATAGACATAAGGCTCACCACTATTTAACGGAGCCCATATGAATTTTAGGTGAGCATGGACTCCGTGGAGCTTGGTGTTATTTCGACCGTAGTACAAGAGTCAGGATCAGATGCATTGTAGCATCACATCGAACGATAGATCCCGCGCAGAGTCTACCCCTTTTTCTAGGGCTGATCTGATACACGTTAAAAAAAGCTTGTCTGACCTTAAAGGCTTAATTATCGGCGCCAAGTTGTCTGCCGAGAGGCGAGAGGCGAGAGCATGCAGCCTGTCATCACTATTAATATCCGTACGTTCCGGCGTCCACAAGGATCATGACTTCTATCCATCCATATACGTCTCGCTAGTCGTTCCTCGTTCTTCGCTCTCGTTCTCGTTAATCGATTATTGTTGATGTAGTGATCATACTTGTCCATGTTGCTACGTCACAGAGATTATATTGGCGAGTGCCTTGTTCATATATCTGCTTTGCCCTTGATAGGCTCTCGCTGAAACCGCCTCGATACATGATGAGATCCCGTAAGACAGGCCAAGTCAAACCTCACTCAGTTAGACATGAACCATGACAGTATCCGTATCAACTCAAACATTAAATTATCAAAACTAGACCAAAGAGGAAGAAGAATAAGACATGGTCTTCTCTCTCCGCTCCCCCATTTCGTCATTCCTCCGCCATCGCACCATCCTGTCCCTCCCCCCTTTCTCCGGGGTATCATAGCATTTCCATCCCAAATAAGAAGTGAAATGATTTGAAATGAACTAAAGTAAAAGAGAAGAAGAGAAGAAGAGAAATAAACGAGTCAAAGCACCAAAAGTAACCGATTACCCTCCAATGTACGTTAAAAGGTTTCGCACGCCCGCAACATGATCCCAAATCCAGGCTGGCAAAAAACATTACCATGACCCGAGGCCGTAAACATCTGTAACTTCCTGATAATGCACATGTATCTTATGTCTTTTTTGTCGTATTCACAAACCGTGAATGCTTCCGAAATGCTCCCTTCCCAGCGTCATGTACACCGTTGCTGTTGCAACTTCTAGCCCACGTCAAAGCTCCGCGTTTCCGCAGGCCACTCCGTTAGACAAGTCGAAAGGTTGATTGCCGAGCAGTTATCGGCTACCACATTCCTCCACAATTCTATGCTGTACACAAACAGCCCTCAATTACTCGTAGCGTCGAGGGGCACCGAACGTGTCAAGCACGTGCTCGGATGTTCGAATAATCCATTCAAGCTTCGCTCTCTCGAGGTTGGCCAGGAAAGGATCCGTGGGGAAGCCATCCTGGATGCCACCGATGAGAGGCTGGATACGTCCGATAAGGAGCTGCATGGTCTGAGTCGTACTCTTGATCACATCGCGAGCACCCTGTTGTTCCCATTCCTACGACACATTAGTTGATGCTCATTAGACATGATACAGTGTGAACTTACAAAGGCAGGAAGGTTCTCGGCAAAGGCTCGGAGAGCCATTTCGATCCATTCAACTTCCTCCTTGAGACGAGCGTTGGGCTTCAGATCCTTGGAGATTGTGGCAATAACAACAAGCAACATCAAGGGTGGAAGATTCTCGAACTTGGTAGGGGGGAAGCGACTGAGGCAACGACGGAAGATCTCTTCCTCACGTCCACTCTGGATCCACTGGATCATGGCGTCCTGATAACGGCCCTCCTGGATGGCCTGCTCAACAATTCTGATGCGCTGCATCAAGTCGTGATCAGCCTCGGGCTCTGTCTGGTTACGCTGGCTGGCGTAGGCACCAGCAAGAGCACTGACACTGGAGGCGGGAGCGACGTAATCAGAAGCCTGCTGCGACGCTTGAGGGCTGTTCACTTGCTGAGAACCACGGAGGTACTGAGGGCTACCCATATACTGCTGCGCCTGGCTGGCGGCCTGGCTAGGAGCTTGACTGGGGTGGTAGCTACCAGCGTGGCTAGCCTGTGGGTGATGCTGGTTGGAGCTGGCATAGCCGTGATGGGGCATGCTCTGACCGTGCCCAACATTTTGCGGGATCCCGGAAAGTTCATGGACAGGCTGCTGCTTGAACTTGAGGAAGTCGGCCTGGAGCGCCGCCTGAGAGGCAGACATGGTTGTAACCATTTCCGAAAGACGAGTTACATGAGAAAGGAGTTGGTCGATCTTGGCGGTGTCGGAAGCATGCTGGGCCTTCATATACTCAAACTGGTCATGGTACTGCTGGTGAAGCTCGCCTGCGACACGCTGCGACGCCTGAGTTGCAATGTTAGTGAACGTCGGGGTGAGTCGCTGGGTCAGTGTCGCAAGGACTTCCTGTTGCACGCTCGTAGCAACCGAGTTTCCAACGCGGTCGGAGATGGCCTTAATGAAATCGCCGGAGCGCAGGGATCGGTTGAGAGCGTGAGGAAGGGAGCTCTGGATCTCCTTCTGCACGGTGGAAGTAAGATGAGGTTGCAGCTTGTTGTCGAGAAGATCGGTAACTGCGGCGCCAGCCTTGTCGCCAATGGCAGGAATGACGAGCTCAGTGAACTGGTGGTGGATCAGAGCCTCCAGGACCTTCTGAGTGTTTTCGTTCAGCACCTCCGAAACCATATCAAGGAGTTTAAGCTGGTGCTGATTGAAGTTCTCGTCACGGACGCGGATGTCATCGTCAATCTTACCGTGAAGGTTCTTGAACGATGACTTGAGGGTCTCGCCGACACTCACGGTGAGACGAGACTCGAGTCCAGAAATGGCGGCATCCAAAGCCTCACTAGAGACAGCAGGTGTGGAGGCGTTGTTCGCGGTCTTGGCATCCTTATTGCCAGCGCGAGGTGCAGCGCCATTAGTAGCTGTATCACCCTGGTTGGCAGCGTTCTTCTTCTTTCTTGACTTTCGCTCAGGCTTCTCCGCCTGAGACTCCTTGGCGGATTGGACAGGCGTTTCAGCCTCCTTCGGCTCACTCTTGGCCTTGGCTGGAGTAGTCGATTCGAGTCCACGCTGGCTAGACTCGGCTTGGGCTCCTGGGGTGGGCTGGATGTTCTCCTTGTTCGCACCGCGGTTAACGACACGGACAACGGCGTCTCCATTGCTGGCTGGGGTAGATGCCTCGGCGGGCTGAGGAGCCTTGAGCTTCGAAACAGTGACGACGCCCTGGGCAACGGCATCAACACCGTCGAGGACCTTGTTGTCCTTGGACCATCCGAGCTCAGTCTGCTTGACAAGGAGGCAAGCAACACCCTTGGAGTGCATGGCGTACAGCTCAAACAGAGTGGGTTCGTCGGCATCTTGAACCATGGCAGGAGTGCCAAGAATGTCAAGACTTCGCAGAATTCCCCGGTTAGCGAACGAGTACTCACGAACACCACTAATGACAGCGGTACTATCCGGCTGGGGGATGGAAGAGTCCTGAGCAATCAGTCGCTGAATATATTCGGCCTGAGATACACTCTTGAGGTTATACTTGGGTGCGGACAAGTGCGCAAAGTAGATCGAGTTGCGCGTGGGGTGGCCAATGACAATCATGCCGGTGGCTGAGTGGTACATGACACTACAAACAGCATCCGACTCCTTGCTGTGGGGTAGGTTGAACTCCTGCACGGGCTTGCCGAGAGCAAGATCCCAAAGCTGCAGAGTGTGGTTCTGCTTCATTCCAACAATCATGTATCGCAGGGCACATCGCTTCTGGTAGGGTCGCTGCTTGTCGAGAAGAA